AAGATTAGAGGCTTTGGTCCATCCACAGGCACCTCAGAAAAAAGTCCTGGTACTTTACTTTTGACAACTTGATCCTTGGAAACACTATGGTGCACATTCAACTCTGGCAGCCATGGGAGCTTCATGAGTTGACATCCGCTTGATGGCAACTGATGTTTAACTGGAATATGTTTTGCCCAAGTTTTCATCTCCTATGGTGCTCATCCTGGGGACAGCAGGTCATGAAAGTGGAGGGGTATGAATGGGAGCAAGTAGCAGAAAGTGAGAAGGAGAACAGAGGCTGGGTGGGACTGCTATATGCATTTCTCAGGGCTAACTTGCTGGGTTAGCTCCCATGGCCAAATGAAACTCAGGGGATGAATCTTCTTGCTCCTGAAAATAAAGTTGTCTTGCTGACCTGGGTTCCTCCTAAATACAAAAAATGTCCACAGAACACCTAAGTCAAAGAGGATCCCTTCCACAGGAAGCCAACAGATTTTGTCATGGTCCAAATTTCAGCCGATGATAATGTGCCACAATTTTGGTCATCTTTGGAACCTCTGCAACAGAGTCCTGCCCATTGGAGAACTGCCATGCAAATACCTTTATGCTTCTAGAAATAGAAATAGTTTCATTGAATGGCAAAACAGACAAACAAACAATAAGGAAAGGACACCCATACACTAGTTTCAAAAGAACTCCCAACCTCAGCCCAGATGAAGAAACTCTTACAGGGGGGGTCAAATGGTGTGTATGGCCCTTCTTCTTCATCTTCCTCTTCCTCGTCCTCATCATTCTCATTGTCCATCTCATGTCTAGCCTCGGCATCATCTCTGCGGGTCCCATTGACACTCCTGTCTAGGGTATTGCTGGGACCTGTCCCATTCTCCACTGTGTGCTTGATGGGGATTTTGATGGCCACCTCAGATTCTCCATTGGCACAAGCTCTGCTGTTTATCAGTCTTTGTCTCTGCAAAGAGAAACGAATGTTCTTACCTTGGTCCAAGGCATCTCAAAGACCCTAAATCCAGAAGATGAGATCTTAGGATTCCCCCCCAGTCAGCTGATAGAAGATGCTTCCAGAAGGCCTGGAGTCAAGTGAGAGGTTCTTGAAAGTAATAATCAGCTCAGACAAACTCGTGAAGGAAGGAAAGATGAACTTTTTCACAACTCATTGGACCTTAGATTCCCTTAGAGCCGTGGTTCTCACCCTTCCCCATGCTGCGACCCTTTAATACAGTTCCTCATGTGGTGGTGACTCCCAACCATAAAATTATTTTCTTTGCTACTTCATTACTATAATTTTGCTATTGTTATGAATCTGGCGACCCCTGTGAAAGGGTTGTTCTACCGCCAAGGGGGTGGTGACCCACAGGTTGAGAACTGCTGCTCTAGAGGAAAATGGCCAGGATGCACACGTGTTTTCTATGGAGTTTCTTGATTCTTGTGCACTGCGGTGGTATCGCTCGTCTGTAGCTCATTGGTGAGAAAGCCTAACAAACACACTTGGACAAGTGTATCACTTAGGCTGCCATTCCAGGAAAATTTAGGTCAGAGATTGTATTACTTAAACCAATATAACCATTAGTTCGCAGCCACTTCTGTGCAAGTTTACAGCAGGGGGATTTATGTCAATGGGAAATGAAAATTAAAAAAGGTATGTAAAAGGGGGAGAGGAGAGGTTTCCACATAACTGGTAGCGAGACTGTATTTTTCAGAATATGGACAGAACCTCAGGGACCAGCATACCCAGATGGTGCAGTGAGCACAGATGTCGGGAAATGGCTGGCGGATTTTTGCATGAAACTATGAGTTAGGAGCTTCTGCTTTTGAACTAGGACATTTTCTGCCCTTCTCACAACTCTATCCTCCCACCCCCTCTGCCCCGTCCCAATCCAGTGTCAAATGGACTGTGCTTTCCCAAGATACCTCATTGATCAACATGCGGCTGGCCATGGAGAGCCGGGTCTTGGGTGGAAAGTGGCTTGTTATCATGATTCGAAGGCCAGCCTCAGAAAAAGAGAGCTGGTGTGGATACTCGGACAGCAGCTCATCCACCATGATCACGGATGCTTTGCGGTGGAAATCGGCTGGGAATAAAAAACAGTAATGAAATAAAATAGAACGAAGGTTGGGATCAGGGAAGAGGTATTCATTCAACTTATCTTTCCTTTTCTTCACCCATCTCTTCATCCCTTTCTCTCTCCATCCTCTAGTCATCCATCCATCCATCCATCCATCCACCCATCCACCCATCCACCCATCCATCCATCCATCCATCCATCCACCCATGCATCCATCCTCTATCCATCCATCCATCCATCCATCCATCCAGGGAGAATGATAGTGAACAAAATTTAGAAAAGAGTCAAAACGTTCCTTTCTATTTGGTTCATTGATAGCTCTTTTGAACTAACTTTAAACACATTAAACATCATTTATTGACACATTAAGAGTGGAAAACATAAGAGAATTCCTCACTATCCTCAAATGAATTTCCCCCACTGTTACTAATTGTGTACAGAAAAGATCTCTGACCCCATTAACCTTTAGTAAGTGCCAGTAGTATTCATACGGAGCAGTTAACATCTACACAACTGATTTTTGGGCCACTGGGAGGACTTGGCGGGCAGTGTTAACAGTTCCTCAGCCCCCACGTAGGTGGAGCTCAGAAGGTGTAAGTATGTGAGCCTCGCACATTATAGACAGAGGTTAAAGGTACAGCGACATGGGTTAAATTATGTGTAGCAATTTGCCATGTGACCTAAAAGAGTGTTTTACCAAGGACCAACACCTCTGTCTATGAATAAGCAGTATTTGCACATTGTACCCTGGCAGCTGCTGGGCAGTCTTCCCTGGTCCTGGCACCTGATTTTTAAACCACTGAACCGTGAAATGATCTCTGGAAACACTGAGT